CCTCATTACAGATGGTTGTGAGCCACCATGTGGTTGCTGGGAATTGAACTCAGGACCTTTGGAAGAGCAGGCAATGCTCTTAACCGGTTGCTGAGCCATCTCTCCAGCCCTCTCATTATATTCTAATTGATCCTATATCACAGTGAAAACATACTGGTAGATTTATTTCATGTGTATATAAAACCTGAAAAAAGTATGAAAAACTTGGTATTCAGATGTTTATTAATTTAGAATTGATTGCATCCTTTGAATCTTATATAAAGCAGTATCATTACTTCACAAATAAAAATTGAAGAAACTATTGAAGTAAGACATCGTGTTGGTTATTTAATACAGTTATTTTCAATTAGCTTTTCCTTACAAATCACTTATTGAATCCTCCTGATAGCAAATGACAGCCCTACAAAGTATGTTGTCTTTTGTTTATTTACAGTGGTACTAGGTTTAGACTTGCTGGAATAAAGAACTTCTTTCAGTGTTAGAAATGACTCTGTGGGCAGGGAAGTGTACAGTTTCCTGACTTTTCCTCCTGACCGGACAGATACCTGCTTTCTCTGTGCAGATGCTGGTGTATACACATGTCTGTATTGAATTGCCATTTTGACATCTTTGCTGTGAGCTCTCTCCATCTTTTTTTATGTTCTTTTTATTTCCTTCCTTTTTTCATTGTTTTGGAGCTTGGTCTTTGTTGCCAGCAGTCTTGCTTGATACCTTCCTTTTCGTCTTAGGCAGATCTTTCCTGAGGTTCACCAAAGATTGAAACATAGTGTTAATAATCCTTGTCTTCAGCACCTTCATGGGAAAAGCCAGGTTGTGAGGGCATGGAAAAGTCTCTCTCTTCAAATAGAATGTTTTCAGGCCTGGTGGTTGTGGCACACACCTTTAATCCCAGCACTCGGGAGGCAGAGGTAAGCGGGTCTCTGTGAGTTCGAGGCCAGCCTGGTCTACAGCGCTAGTTTCATGACAGCTAGGGCTGTTATACAGAGAAACCCTGTCTCAGGAAAAAAAAAAATCGTTTTCTGCTTTTGCTGGTTGATAAAATCCTAAAGAAATCCATAGGTCCATATGCTAGCATGCTAAAGGGGAACGAATGGGATGGGAACTGAGGAATAGGATTTTAGAGATCATTCAGAGTAAAATATTTATGGTGGAGGCAATGAGATAAATGGGCAAACTGCATTTGAGTTTTTCATCGAAAAGAGAGTGATGCCAGACAGACATTGGACTTGGCCAAAAGTTTGCCTGGTCCTCCAAGAGTTTTATATATTTGATTTCCATCAAATTTCGTTTATTCCTTCTTGAAGCTCCCAATCTTGCAGGAAGCTGCCTGTATATACAGTAATTTCAGATGTATTTTTAGTGACTTGCCTTTTTTCTTTTCTTTTCTTTTTTACTTTTTTTTTTTTTTGAGATAGGGTCTTGCTTTGTATCGCTGGCTCACCTGGAATTCACCATGTAGGCCAAGCTAGCCTCAAACTCAAAAAGACACCTCTGCCTCCCAAGTGCTGAAGTGAAGGTGTGTGCCACCACACCCAGCTGTGACTTTTCTTACTAAATGTTTTTACAAGGGGAAAAAAAGGCCAACTTCTTTCATTCAATCTGCACCATTGCTTTTAGAAACAAGGCCTTAAGTTTAATGTTTGTTCTTAAATGTGGTGGTCTTAATGAGGTGTTCCCTATAATCTAGATCATTTGAGCACTTACTTGATTCCTGTCTGTGGTGTTGTTTATTCACATGTTTGTTTAAAAGGCCTTGTTGGAGGAATTATGTCACCAAGGAGGTGGGCTTTGAGAGTGTAAAGATTCCTATTTGTTCTCTCAGCTTCCTGCTTAGCATTTAAGGTGTGAGCTCAGCTTGCAATTCTAGCCTTCACGCCCTCTGTGCCACCATCATAAACTCTTATTCATTTTGATCCATAAATTCAAATAAACCCTTCTTTCTGTAAGTTTCATTGGTTATAGTGTTTTACCACAACAATGGAAAAGTAACAGTACAGTACACTTTTATCACAGCAATGGGAAAATAACAGTACACTTACTAGATAGAAATAAAAAATAACAAGCTAGGCACAGTGGCACATGCCTGTAATCCCAGCACTTAAGAGGCTGAGCTGGGACTTTCATAGTGAGTTTGAGTTACACAGCAAGAAAATAAAACAAAACAAACTGTATGCTATTAAAAGTGGGGCACATGAAATAAATAGTTAAAGTATATTTTATGTAATTGATTTCATTCAGAAAAGCAGGCTCTAGGGCATACTTTGTACATATACGAAAGGTTAAAAGAACAAAATGAAAGGAATGCTTCAGTGTTAATGTGAGTTTACTTATTGCTTACCCGTTTTAATTCTGCTGAACAGAAACATAATTTTGCTTTTCAAAATCAAATAGTCAAAAATACTTCAATCTTTTAATCATTACTTAGCATTCTCATAACAGTCATTTAGATCTGTGGATTACAGAATTGCTCTAAAGTTGTTGATTTGCTATATAGCTACTAAAAATGGAAAGGTAAAAAATATATGGGAATGATTTTTTCAGATATTTAAAAACATTTGCTTTCCCTCTTCATTTTGTTGTAATTCTTGTGCATTTGCTTGTTTTCCACATTTTTATCAGTTTGTTTAATATCCTCATAAAGTTTATCTTCAGGTGTCATTTTGTTTTTGTTGTGGTTGAAGCTTTGGAAGTTTTATCATTGTGGTCATATTTTTGTGTTTGTATAGCCATTGTCTTGAGCAGAAAGGAGTCATTGATACAAAATGATTACTTTTGTCAGTGCCAGCCATGACCTTTAGTCAGTCTGGCTATGTTGACAATAAAACCACAGATTGTGGAGTTGAAAACCTAAGCCAGATCCTTATTACTCTGAAATACCCTGTGTGCCTCTTTCCTTGTCCAGTAGCAGTGGTATTAGTGTTTAACTGGTGGCTAAATTGTTTAATAAATTACCATTTTATTAATAAATTAACCTTTGCCCTTTCTTCCATCTTGTGGAAGGAATTTTGTCTTTTGCTAAAAGTTGAGCATTTGGTTTCTATATCTAACTCTGTCTTTTCTGTGTTTTTTAAATAAATATTAAAAATAATATAGAAATCTCATTTATTAATTGTTTGCTATAAATACATTAAGGCAAGTTTTGTTCTTATTTTCCTCATCAGAAGAGGTTTTCCATTTATAATTAATGAGAATACCTTTTGTATACAAATTATATAATTACTTGCAGTTTTATATCATGTTAGTATATTCTGTGAGTTGAATCATAAATCCTATGGTCTACTTTATATTAATGATTTCAAAGAAAATAATTAGAAAGTAGCTTTCAGGTAACATATGGTGCCAGAAAGGTATCAACTATATGCTTTTCCATGATGCATTACATGTGTAGTCTCTCTATTAAATTAAGAATTCAATAGGATTTTTCTAAGAGCAAATAAAACTTGTGTGTGTGTTTGTGTGTGTGTGTGTGTGTGTGTGTATTTTGAAAGCCGGTTTCCTGTAAATTGTGCTTGGCTTATTCTCTACACAGCAGCCCCTCCTTACCTATGGGAATAAATTCCAGACTCCCAGCAGATACCTAAAATTAAAGATTTATCCACTCTTACCCCATACTTCTGTATCTATACATAAACATTTTCTTACACCATACATGCTAGAGATAAACTTGAATTGCTAAAATTAGGCAGAAGGATTAACATAACTAATGTGTAAATAGAACAATTATAATAAGATGCTATAATAAGTGCTATTAAATTTTATTTGTAGAATATTTTCTTGAATATTTTCCTGCAGGGTTAATTAAAAACTACTGTTCTTACTTAGTATTATCTTCATGTTAATTTTTTTATTTTCCTCCTTTTTGGTTTTCTGAAACAGGGTTTCTCTGTGTAACCCAGACTAGGCTGGAACTCAGAGATCTTCCTACGTCTGCCTCTGAGTGCTGGGATTAAAGGCATGTACCACTGTGCTCAGCAATTTTTTTTTTTAACAAGACAGTTAAGCCCTAATAACTGAGTTAGTGAGGAGGACATTCTGCTGTGGGACCTATTGCCTTTCTTTTGTTTGTTCAGTTTTCCATACCGTCAGCTGGTTTCTATAAAGACTTGGACATCCACAAATTATCACAGAGGTTGTGACATTTTATGACTGAACACTGCATTTTTACCTACATCACAGAGGACTTCAAGGAACAGTCTGAGAGGGTTCCTAAACTTAATAGTTTTTTAACATCTATGTTTTTCTCATATACAAATGAAAGAAAACCAACATTCTCTTCCATCATAGAAAACAGCTCACAGTGGGGTAGGGAACACATAATGTTCCTAGGAATCAAAGATGAAAAAACTGGACTTTTAAATTTAGAAAATGTAGAAATAACTAGATTGAATCAGAAAAATACAAATGACTGGATTGAGAGATTTTCAGTTTTTCTAAGACTGACTGTGAAAGTATAGAATCGTCAGAAGAGCATGGTGGTGACTAAGTCTTTACCCTTGTAACACAGATCTTCAGTTTGCAGTCACATCGTGGATAAGAGCTTTGAAGAGATTGAAGTGCATTCTCACGTCACAACAGTTAGCTCTGTATAGCTAATTTGAGATTTTTCTATCCTCAGTTAAGAATATTTATCTCTAGTCTGATAGAAACAAGTTTATTAAACTGAATGGTTTCTTGGCCTGATTTATTTTTGTTGGAGAGGAGCTGAATTCTTCATATTTTATAGAGAGAAAGTTTGAGAGGAGTAGAAAAATGGAGACACTTAGATTACTCCATCTGAAAGTTTCCAAGGAAATATTTTAATTCTGAAATTTCATGATCTATAGGGGAATAATAATGAGAGTATCTGAAGAAACTAACTTGCTATATATTACTGAGGCAGGGAGTGAGCTCAATTAAGTCCCATAATGATGCTCACACCACCATGTGGACTGTACTCTCTTATGTGCTATTCCAAACATCCTGAGTATGTTTTTATATTGTCCGCTGTCTTCTTTCCTTAGGTATGGATGAACGTGGAGGAACAACATCTTGGGGCACAAGTGGTCAACCAAGCCCTTCCTATGATTCATCAAGAGTAAGATTTTTAAAGTCTTATTTTAAGTCTTATTTAAATCTTTATTTAAGTCCTGTGATTCATCTAGAGCTTTTTTTTTTTTTTTTGTCAATTAATTGAGCTGAATTTCTGGTTATCTTGTATTGCCATGTGGCTGTGGCTTACCAGGTAAAGTTCCGTCTGCCGTCTGTTTCTGGCAGAGCTACATGGCCTCTCCCTGACTCTGCCTCCTTTCTCCCAGCAGTTTACTTTTCCTCGACTATCTATGTTGTAGAAGGAGGCCACTTGTTTGTCTTGGCCTCCCAGAACGAAAATAATCACACAGAAACTATATTAATTAAATCACTGCTTGGCCCGTTAGCTCTAGCTTCTTATTGGCTAACTCTTACATTTTAATTTAATCCATCTCCATTATCACGGGGTCATGGCCGTGATATTGATTGTTATTTGGAGGGAAAGAGGTGCTGACTGACTCTATTAACATAGTGGGTATCAGTGCCCAAGAAAGAGCCATGTTATGAGGTGAAGTACCTTGTCAATTGTCTCAGGATTTAGACTTTACTATTGATTCCTGGATACATTGTTCTTTCTTTTTAAAATCTTATTTACTTTTATTTTATGTGGGTTGTTGTTTTGCCTGGGAGTTAGTCTGTAGACGTTCAATATTGTCTGCATTCTTAAGAGAGTTTCTGATTCTGAAAAATATATTTTGAGTGTGGAGGTGTGTTTTCTGTATTTTTGAAATAGCAGTTTAATATAGTTTTTATAAATATTCTTAAAATTCCTTCAGAAGCTCAAGTTACTGTCTTAGAATGCATTAAGTGGTTCTTTTGTAGTTTATATTAACTTCACTTTCAAGCTCTCTGGGTTTTTCTACTTGAGTATTAGATGGGATTTTAGGAGAAGAACATGTAACAATGTATTCAAGCACTTACACCAAATTGATGATTCTGACTTTTTTACCTCCAGTGATTGAACTGAGAGAAAGTCCTGTTGTTTTTGTTATTTGATCTATAGGTTAGGTAGAAATGTCTTTTACTTGTAATGTATTTATTAGCTTATTTTTAATGTAGGTTATGGTTGAGAAAGTTAAACTGATTCTATTAGTGTCACCCAGCTTCCTATTTAACCCAGGCACATTCCTACACACCCATCTCACTGCTTGTGGTCATCTTCTCCAGAAGTAGGCAAAGTTTCTCCAGCTGAGTTTTTATTATATGTGACCTCTCCAGGTCTTATCAGATCTGAAAAGTAGCCTCATAGTACAGAGGTGGTTAAGTTTCTGGTTGGGTGTTAGAGTTACTCACAGACATCCAGCTAGCAAAGAGATTTTTGTGAGGAAGATACTGGAACAGATATGATACTTAATGGTGATGTTAGAGGGAATGATAGAAAGACATATGTAAGTATTCTTAGGCTTGAGATATTCTTGGACGGAGCCCTGCTTTTGTGGAAGCCCTTGTGCCCTCTATCTTGTCTGTGCACTCGATAGTTTGACTATTACTGAAGAACAAACATAAAAATGAAAGGAGTACCATGATATGAAAGACATAGTTTAAAAAAATCTGTCAAAGTTAAAGCACCAGAGATGAGTAAGATTTAAATATTGTGTAGTGAAGGCCTATAAAAAGTATAGGCAACACGATTTTATACGTCTTTTTATCTCCTTTAGTGCAAGAAATGTAGATGAGTAAGATTTAAATATTGCGTAGTGAAGACCTATAAAAAGTATAGGCGACATGATTTTATACGTCTTTTTATCTCCTTTAGTGCAAGAAATGTTTTCTCTGTTTAAGGCTGTGCTAGGTGTAAAGGTCAGGAAATTGGATTGTTCTTGTTGACTGCCGTTATTGATTTGTATCTATCTATCTATCTATCTATCTATCTATCTATCTATCTATCTATCTATCCCCTTCTTAATATCAGTGTTATTCTGGACAGGTTATTTATATTTACTATACTTCAGTCATTTGTAAAATGATAGCTACTTCATGAAGTTGTAACAAAGATTAAATGGAATGGTCAGGGTCTGATTTGCACTGTTCTGTATCTTTAGAATTCACTTTGTAGATGTTTGTGTCTAATCAAACCAGCTACAAATGAATGACTACATTCACAAGAGATGCTCCTTTATAAATCTAATAAATGATAATTATTTACTTACTCAGTAATTAAAATACTTTTTTCTTTTGGATCTGTAAGAAATATAAATAAAATTAATTTCCCTTGCAATTATGCATTTCTTTCTTGGTTTAAAACAGGTCTTTTTTTTGTCAAAATGATGATTTAAAAATATTAAAACAAAACAAAAAATGGGGCCAGAGAGATGGCCCATTGCTTAACAGTTCTGACTTCAATTCCTAGCAACCATATGGTGGCTCACAACTACTTGCAATGAGATCTGGTGCCATCTCCTGGTCTGCAAAGATACATTCAGACAGAACACTGTATAATAAGTAAATAAATCTAAAAACAAAAACAAAACAACAAAGACAACCAAACAAAAAAAGAGTCAGGCAGTGATGATGTTTTCCTTTAATCCCAGCACTTTGGAGGCTGAGGCAGGCGAGTCTCTCTGAGTTTAAGGCCGTCCTGGTCTACAGAGCGAGTTCCAGGACAGTCAGAGACATCCTGTCTCAAAAAACGGTTGTTTGCTAAAGCAATGTTTTATCCATAGAAGGTGTGGCGTGCTGTACTTATTTGTCAAATAAAATCAAAATTTCAGAAATCACCAGATATATTAGGTTAATGGAATTTAGTGGTTGACGGAGAAAAGCCCACAATTCCTTAACCCTATACAAAGAACTACAGACAACTAAGGAATACTGAGAGCAGTACAAAAATTCTTTTCCAGGGAAGAGCACCCCAGTAGGTCACCCAGTATTAAACAGTCATACCTGAAGAAATACATACACATAATATTATACAAACTGAGCAGGCCGAATTTAGGAATGTATATGTAGATACATATTTGCATATAACAGCAATTAATGAAAAAAAGAGGCCATGCATTTGAAAGAGCAAGAAGGACGATATGTGAGAGTTTAGAGGGAGGAAAGGGAAGGGTGGAAATGATGTAATTATAATTTCAAACAAAAAAGTTAGAAAGTGAATGAACAATTTTTTTTAAAAGGAAAGAACAATGATGGAAGACTGGGGTTTACAGTAGATAGTAGTCTTAGTAATAGGGAACAGGCCCCCTGTGTTTTTACAGATGCAAATTCCTGATAGAGAAGAACCCAATTCAGGCATTTTATATGAGGTCAGACTTGAAAACTTGTACATATGACCTTAGAGAAGACAACTTTGTTTTAGATTCTTTTTGTCTTCAAAATTATGTAGTTTTACACAGACCTTAAAGGGCTTAGATAAAAATGGATATTATAGCTATGAAATATTTCACTTATTGATACAACAAATAGAAACTATTACTGTTACCAGTGATTTATCTTAATATCAAATAATTCAGTATGCATTTTCATCATATATTTCCTGAATACAGATTCTGTTTCTGAGATGTGACTGATACCTGGTTCTGTTTCTCTTACAAGTGACCATGTTGTTTGGTTTTGTCTGTTCTTTTGCACACTGGTACCTAACCTCGCCCAAACTCTACTATGTACCATTAAGGTCTGTATTTCACAGCCTGCATGAGATGCAGAACTCACCTGCTGATATATAGACCAAATACTTTACTGCTTCTTTGTAAAAGTTTATATAGGCTCACTGCTAGCAAACCACTAATAGGAAATTAATTTTTTCATGTCATTAGTGACTATGAGGTTTTTTCTTTTTTTAAAGTCATGATTATTTTTCATAACATGTGGCTGTTAAGGTGGGTATTTATTTATCTTGTTATTATTTTTACAAAGAACTTGAATTGTCTTGAACAGAATTTGAGTGCTTCCAAATTTCCCCTAGGTTTTTTTCCCTTCTTTTTCTTTTTTATATTGTGCTTTGCAGAACAAAACAATCATTTGCCAGTTTGCTTTTTTCTTTCCTCATCATTTGCTGTCTCATAGAATTTCCACAACTGAAAAAATGTGTTAGCTATCATTTGCCCCAGTTCTTTTGTTTTCCAGAGGAGAAGCCAGATTTGGAGAGTGTGAGGTTGGTCAGGTAACTGCATTATTCACATGAGGAGGGTTGCACTTAACTCATCAGTACTTGCCTCTGGCCTGTGACTATATTACACGTTACCAATGTGTTTTAAGTCCCCTTGCCTTGCCATAGAAGTTCCTAATTCAAAGAGTAGGCCTAATTTTTTTCTGTCATACTTTTCAGGGAAAGTAGAAAGTAGAACAAAAAAGGGGACCTGCAGCTAGTGAAAGAAAATTTGGAACATGATGCTACTTAGCCACCTGGAGATGTGCTTATTAGTTGGTAGAATACTTTCCTATCTTCTGTGAGGTTCTGGCTTTGGTCCCTAGCACCACACAAACTGGATGTGGTGGCACACTCTTGTGATTACAGCTCTTGGGAAGTAGAGGTTGGAGGTTCAAATGTTCAAGGTCACCTTGGACTACTTAGCTAGCTTGAGCCCATTTGGAGTGAAAGGGGAGAGGAGAAAGTAGACAGGGTTATTTACATAGCAAGAGTAGTGTGCAATGAGGCAGAATCATAGAATTAGTTGTTGAATATCCAACTTGATCCAGTTGATAGATGGTACTGTCAGTGTCTATTTCTGACACCCCTCACACCTTGCTTTGTGATACTGGATAAGTTAATTTTTTTTACATCAAACTTTTTATCCCTTTTTTCTTCATTGATACAAATGGAATGCACAGTAATAATGGCTACATCACCAGCCTTCAAGCTTTTGCCAATTAGTAGAGTGGGGGAAAGCAGCTATATGTTGATGGGTTAGCCTTTAAATAGTTGTGTGTGACTCAGCACAGAATGATTTCAGGAACTTGTTACTTTTCTTTTTAGGTTGTGAGCCTAGCCTCTAATGGCTGAACAGTTTTTCCCAAGAGCCCCAGGGACTTTCTCCTAAGGGATGAGTAGTAGACACATTTTGA